AGAGTTAAGGGACTTAATAGTGATTTCAATAATTTGAGGGAATAATTTTAAAATAGCTTAAGAATTTAGGGACCCAATAGCAATTTTAACAATTTGAGGGACTAATTTCAAATTACAAAATATTTAACAAAAAATATAATAATTAGAAGGAAATTAGCCCATCAGATCATCGGTTTTTTTGTTAAATTCCCCAATATTCATAATTAATTTCAAATTAAGTACTATAATGGATAATATTTACTCTTGGTTTGAGGAATAATTTTAAAATAACTTAAAAGTATGAGGGCCTATTAGCAATTTCAATTATTTGAGAGGCTAATTTAAAAATAAGTTAAGAACTAAGAGATCTAATAGTAACTACAGTGATTCGAAGGACTTAGTTTAAAATATGAAAGATGGAACTAATATAAAAAAACCTTTTTTAAATAAATGAGGAAAAACTTTTAGTGTACATGAAAAAGAGAGAATATAAAATATAGGAAACTTATACCAAATTTAACAATTTGAGGGGCTATTTTCAAAATAACTTATGAATTAAGGAAACTAATAACAATCACAATGATTTGAGGGACTAATTTTAAAACAACGAAAAATTTAAGGGACTAATATAGAAAAAGGCAATGTTTTTAATGAATGGGTGGATTTTAAAATAAATGAGGTTAAACTTCGGGTGTATGGAAAAATGAGAGAACTTAGAGAAAATTTTATGAATGTTTTGAGAAGACTAATATTATAAAAAAACCTTTTACAATAAGTGGGTGGGCTTTAAAATAAATGAGGTAAAACTTTAGGTGTTCATGAAAAAGAGAGAACTTAAAATATACCAATTTTAATGATTTGAGAGGCTAATTTCAAAATAACTTATGAATTAAGGGAACTAATAGCAATCTCAGTGATTTGAGGGAACAATTTTAAAAATATTAAAATTTTAAGGGTTTAATATTAAAAAAGCTGATTTTTTAATAAATGGGTAGGTTTTAAAATAGATGAAGTTAACTATGGGTGTCTAGGAAAAAGAGAGAACTTAGAGAAAATTTTATGTTTTTAAGAAGAACTAAACCCATGACCTCCAACTTTCAAGTCGGTAGTACTATCATTGTGCTACATTCTACTTATTGTCTCTCAGAATTTTGGTTTTATATTAATTTCATTGTAACTATGAAAATTAGATATAGTGGAAGACCCAATAGTTTTAGGGTGTGTTTGACAATTTGTTAAAAACTAGATCAGGACCGGTCATGATCCAGTTTCATTATAAACTGGTTTTAGTTTGGACCAAGGGGTTGGTTCAAACTAAAACCAATTTAAGGAGGTCTTTTTGGCCTACAAAAACTTGAACAACATTGGCCCAAGTTTTTGCCAAACAAAAAAGCATCTAAAATTGGGTCATGTTTAGTCCTTGCCCAGTTTTAACAGATTGCCAAACAGGCATTTAGTATATACATAAATGGTAGGACTATTTAGTAATTAATATTTTACGCTAACTGAACAGTTCTATTGCTGGCTGCTGCCTCCCCGCCGCCCCCCCCCCCCCGCTAGATTCTACCATTAATAGCCAGGTTTCAGTTATGATCCTAGTCAGCGGAACCCTGTTTATTCCACAAATGAAGAGAAAACGCGAGAAAAGTGCGTCCCTTCTCATAAATTCTCTATACCAGGGCCCTCCTTCCCCTCCCCCCCCTCCCCAAAAAAAAAAAAAAAGACTACGTTTAAACAGAGGGCTCATTAACTCATCAAATGTAAGTAGACTTCCCCGCCCTCTGTTCCCAAATCGAAAAACAAACCAAGAAAAATGCCTCCTTTCTCAAACACCCTAAATCACACCAAACTCCTCCCATTGCTCAATAGATCAGAAGAAAAGACTCTTCAAAAAACCATAGATCCCCCTTGTCTCTCTCTTCTAAAGGAAATGAGGAAGCCAATTGATCAAGCTTCAAAAAAAATCTCACAGATCTAAACTTATTGATTTCATGTTCTTAATGTACTCAATTTAAGAGGAAAAATCTCATGCTTAAAACGCCTTACAATCGAACCTGGCAATTCTTCTTCATTGCCTACAGATCCAACCAAATTACCCATCTTGAATGCATCTTTCACCACGCCGTCTGATCTTCTAAAATGAGTTAAAAATTTGAGCTTGGTGCAATTTGGAAGAGAAGTGAGGAGTTCTTTTTAAGGTAATTTTGGGTTTTTACAAAAGGGTAAAAAGCTTTACCTTTGGTATTTTGATTTGGGAATGGAGAGGCTGAAACAA